CCTTTTAATGTAAAATTGGTTATATTAAAACAATGAATATTATTATGTGTGCACCCTGCCATTTTATTGCCTTACATAATCATGTGTTTCCAGATCTCTATTTGCTTAGTTGTACCAGTTAAACAAGGCTGTCAACATCAGCGCATGCTCCATTACCAGTTCAGTGGGGCGAACATTTTAATATGAAATCCAGAGTAATGACAACAATCTGGACGGGTAGATGATCGCCTTATTACATCATTTATTACATCCTTTATTCCACGACCATCATCAAAGGGTGATGTGTTCCTGTCTCTCTTGAGTGTGTGCTTTTGTGTCTGCATCGTTGCTTGAAGTTCAGATTACCACGCATGTGTTCACAGCCTGAGCGTTTTGCTGCAAATTGTGTGCGTGTGTGTGTGTGTGTGTGGTGTGTGTCTCTGCTTAAAAATGAATTCAAAGCTTTAGTGAGAGTAAAATGTCAAAATCCCTGGAGAATTTGCAACCAGATCTCAACAAGTTTGAGTTGACCAGCGCTGACATTTAAAGGTCGCAAATTATTCACTTTCTAAGTTTCCATTCCTAGTGATAAGAATATTCTTTATGATAGGAATGAGCCTGTCTTTTAAAATAAAAAACTACATCTACAGTTTGTTAGAACGACTGCAGGAATGTTTCCACACATAGCATCAGGAATACATTTACAATGTATTAATCAATGTTCAGGCACTCTATTTATGTATAATTGAAAATGCAAATTAAATGCTTACGATTTAATGCTCTACATTAGTCACTACAAGAACTATCTATTTGAGAATACAGTGCATTTCTCAGGATATACAATTATAGAGAAAGTACATTAATTGCCGTTCTAAAGATACAATGCAGTTCTATAGATTGGTGCAGAGATGACATACAGTTGCAAGAAAAAGTATGTCAACCCTTTGGAATGACCTGGATTTCTGCATAAGTTGGTCATAAAATGTGTTCTGATCTTCATATAAGTCACAGCAATAGAAAAACACAGTCTGCTTAAACTAATACCACACAAACAATTATATGTTTTCATGTTGTTATTGAACACACCATGTAAACATTCACAGTGCAGGGTGGACCCCTAGGCTAAAGACTTCTTCAAGAGCTAATTGGAGTCAGGAGTCAGCCAACCTGGAGTCCAATCAATGAGACGAGATTGGAGGTGTTGGTTAAAGCTGCCCTGCCCTATAAAAAATACACACCAGTTTTGAATTTGCTATTCTTAAGAAGCATTGCCAGATGTGAACCATGCCTCGCACAGAAGAGCTCTCAGAAGACCTACGATTAAGAATTGTTGACTTGCATAAAGCTGGAAAGGGTTACAAAAGTATCTCTAAAAGCCTTGATGTTCATCAGTCCACGGTAAGACAAGTTGTCTATAAATGGAGAAAGTTCAGCACTGTTGCTAGTACTCCTCCTAGGAGTGGCCGTCCTGTAAAGATGACTGCAAGAGCACAGCGCAGAATGCTCAATGAGGTGAAGAAGAATCCTAGAGTGTCAGCTAGAGACTTAAAGAAATCTCTGGCACATGCCAACATCTCTGTTGACGAATCTACGATACGTAAAACACTGAACAAGAATGGAGTTCATGGGAGGACACCACGGAGGACACCAGGAGGAAGCCACTGCTGTCCAGAAAAAACATTGCTGCACGTTTGAAGTTTGCAAAAGAGCACCTGGATATTCCCCAGCACTACTGGCAGAATATTCTGTGGACAGATGAAACGAAAGTTGAGTTGTTTGGAAGGAACACACAACGCTATGTGTGGACAATCAAAAGGGTTCACATACTTTTTCTTGCAACTGTATTGTTGTAGGCCGACAAAAAATGTCATAAATTCAGAAAGATCTATTTCATAAATGAAAACAATTTTTCTGATTTTTAAGGAGGCCCTGTTATGCTTTTTAGGGTTTTCCCTTAACTGTACTGTATTATATAGATTTGTGTGCATGTTATGGTCTTCAAAGGATTGGGGTAGGCTCATGGGCAAAACATCTCTTAGCGGTTGACCAATCATAACAGAGCTGGCCAGCTAACCAATCAGAGCAGACTGGGCTCTGGTTTCAGACAGAGGGTGAAAAGAGGTGCTGCAGCACAGGCAGTATGAGAAAAATAAAGACCTTTTTGAACATTAAAACATGGAAACATGTCACAGTGGTGAAACTAAATACAAATGGGAACCTGAAAAGGAACATAAGTGCCTCTTTAAAGCATAAATGCTATTGCAATAGGTAAAATGCTAACTTTAGGCTATAAATGTAACACACGGTAGCATTACTTCATGTCACCTCCACCGAGCTAAAGGAGGGCTCGTGTTTGGCATGATGACACTTAATTGACTAATTTTGCCAATTGTTAGCAATAGGCAAGGCAAGGCAAGTTTATTTATTTAGCACTTTGCTGTACGCGACAATTCAAAGTGCTTTACAAAACAAATTAAAATACTTTTTAGTAATAAATACATTAAAAACACATTATACAATTGTACAACAGACATTACAAAGCAAAGATAATAAAATAATAAAAATAAACACCACAGGTATACAATACATGTTTAAAAGGTATACTGTAGTTCGAATATGAGCATCTCAATTAAAAGTAGCGGCAAAGAGATATGTTTTTAGTCTCGATTTAAAAATAGTAAGCATTTCTGCGGACGTGCGTGATTTGGGTAGTTTATTCCAGAGTGTCGGGGCATAATAGCTAAATGCTGCCTCTCCATGTTTTGTTTTTACTCTCGGAACCGATAGCAGACCCGTCCCAGAAGACCTGAGGCACCTTGATGGCTCGTAATTATGCAGGAGTTCAACAATGTACTTTGGTCCTAAACCATGTAATGATTTAAAAACTAGCAATAGTACTTTAAAATCAATTATTTGGCCGACTGGAAGCCAATGTAGAGATTTCAGAACCAGACTGATGTGATCCACCTTTTTAGTGTTAGTGAGGACACGTGCAGCAGCGTTCTGGATCAGCTGCAGTTTTCTGATGGATTTTTTGTCAGCCCTGTGAATACACTATTGCAGAAGTCGAGCCGACTGAAAATAAAAGCATGGACAAGCTTTTCTAAGTCCTGTTGTGACATTAGTTTTGTAATCCTCGATATATTCTTCAGGTGATAATAAGCAGACCTAATGACTGTTGTAATGTGGCTGTTGAAATTCAGGTCTGAGTCCATCACTAGACCTAGATTTCTGGCTTTATTAGTGGTTTTGTAGTCTGCCCACTGAAGCTCTGCGATTACTTTTAATCGGTCCTTCTTTGCTCCAAAAACAATGATCTCAGTTTTTTGTTTGTTCAGTTGGAGAAAGTTCTGAGTCATCCAGTCAGTGATGTGCTCAATGCACTTGCTCAGTGTTCTAATCGGAGAACAGTCTCCTGGTATGATTTTAAAATAAATCTGGGTGTCGTCTGCATAGATGTGATAACTTAGATCGCTCTTTTTAATAATTTCAGCCAGAGGTAGCATATTGATATTAAAAAGCAAAGCCTTGAGGAACCCCGCATGACATATTTATCAGGGTTGATGTGTAGTTGCCTATTGAGACAACGTTTTTTCTGTCCTTTAAGTAGGTACTAAACCAATTTAGAGCTGTTCCTGAAACTCCCACCCAGTTTTCTAGACGGTCTAGTAATATGTTGTGGTCAACAGTGTCAAAGGCAGCACTGAGATATAATAATACTAAAACTAGACATTCTGCCACTGTCTGTGTTTAAATGAATGTAATTTAAGACCTTAACAAGAGCAGTGTCAGTGCTGTGGTTAGGTCTAAAGCCTGACTGAAACACATCAAAACCGTCATTTAAAAACATGAAATGACTCAACTGTTGAAAAACAACTTTTTCAATCAATTTGCTTAAAAAAGGAAGGTTTGATATTGGCCTGTAATTATTCATTACGGTTGTGTCCAAGTTATGCTTTTTAGGAGCGGTTTAATTACTGCAGTTTTCAGGGCCTGTGGAAATACACCTGATTGAAGAGAGTTGTTTACTATGTGTAGTATATCTGAGGCCATACAGGGAAAAACTGTTTTGAAAAATCCTGTCGGAATAATATCGAGGCTACAGGAGGAGGATTTCAGATGTTGAATAATGTCTTCCAGGTCATTAGCATTTATCAGACGGAATTGTGACATGATGTCTGGATTGGCTTTAGGTGGACACAGGGACAACACATTTGCTGTACCTGATGCAGAGGCACTGACTGCCTGTCTAATTTGCATGATTTTGTCAGTGAAGAAGGAGGCAAAATCATTGCAGGCCCTGGTGGATAGAAATTCTGAAGCTACTGACATAAATAAACCTTTTTTTTTTATTATCTAATGACATATTTTATTTTAACAAAACATGTTTAAGCTAGACCTTTTTTCAGGCATTTACACAAAATAACATTCAAAGACTCTATTGGCTTTGTTAATCAGAAATGCAAAAAATGCTAATATTTTATTTTCGGACCTGCTGCTCTCTATGATATATTTAGAGCAGGAATACAATTGTACTGGCTGTCATATTATTAACTTACATACACTGAAATAATTATAGTTTGCATCCAGCTTTTGTTCAATGGCAACCAATGCTGAATAGAGGAGAATTGGAATCTCTACTGTTGCAAACAACCTGACACGGGTGAATCTTTTTTTATTTGAGCAGCTTCAATGGAACGGCTTTATTTAAACGTAATTATTTCAGTTTTAATTGAAATGTTGAACATGTTGGAGGGTTGAGCTTTCATTTGAAAGACACTGGGGAAGTCTCTTCACCTCAGCCTTTTCTAAGCTTTCTCAGTACAGAACAGGATTTCATCATCTGCTTAATTGCTCACCCTAATTTGCTTTGCTGGCACTGTCACAGCCCCATTGTACCGTTATCAAATCACTGGACACTGTAATTAACTTTACATTGTAACCACCACCTCTGTATCTGCCGCAGCCCAGCTGTTAAATGGTTTTAACTTTATTGTCTTTCTGCTCTTCTTTCCTCGCAGAATGAGTATACGTGCCCACGCCCGCTACCTGGTGCCTGGCTGGGAGATGTGCCTACGATCCATTAACCGCTAAAAGGAACTGCTTTGAAGGAAAAAGGAAAGAGACATATGCAGAGAATCTGGATCCTACTCACATTATTCAAAGGATACATTTAAACGGTCCTCCACGCTAACAAGGGCAACCACTGACAAAGACAAAGAGGAGATAAAACGGTCTTTTCCTTAAGATTTTACATTGTCTTATTTGTTTCGCTCATAGGCCCATCATGCTCCATCACTAAATGAATAAATGGTTGTGGAAATGCAGTCCTATGGTAAATAGCGGAGCCTTGGAGGAAGACTCATGAGCGCTGATGGATGGTTATATCCAACACGAGAGCTTATTGTATAGACTCTAATAGCCTATTGTCTCCCTGAGGACAACATGGCATTGTTTTAAACCAAGGAAAGAGACTGTACAAATTCAAGAGGCTTTAAAAAAAATTGTAAAACCCAGCAAGAGTTTTTGACTAAAAATGCATTGAGCAGCTGGAGCTGAGCACTCTGCTAATGCAGTTATGTATACTTTAAAGTGTGTTTCCATACTTTGACTTCCCCACGTTATCACCTTTCAACCTTTTTTTTTTCGTAAGAAAGCCCAATTAAAGGCGAGGATGGTGTAAATGTGCCTCACTGGAGCAGAAACATTATTGAAAAGGAGCTTCGGTGCACCTGTCAGGAAAGAGGACGCTGCTCCATCAGGTGGAAATCGAGCAGCAGCTGGAAGATTGCTTTCGAAGCCTGAGAGGAAAAGCAAACTATCCCCCAGCCACCTTTGGTGAAGTCTTTGTGGTTTGTTTGCTTTTTTTTAAAGAACATTTTTCTAAGTTGTTTCTAATTGCAATCAAACCTTGACTATATCGTTTGATTTGGAAGACCTGAGGGGTCAATCAGAAGCAAGGGGAAAGTAAAAAGCCCCTATCAAGGGTATACAATGTAATTTTCTGCAATTATAATGTTGTTAATGTTGTACTTTATGAATATGTGTTTCTGCTATTTTCAACACCAAATACCAAAGAGCCAAATGGAGCACTTTTGGCTCTCCCAATTGGGTCGTAACAGATCCAGAATTTGATCCACGAAAAATCTAAAAGAAGCCTCAACTCGCATCATGTCCAGTAATGCTCCATTACCCGATTGGCTTTTTTTTATTTTCTACGTGTGTAATTTGTACGTCTTTGTGAACAAAGGATCTTGCAACCACGGTCACTTGGATGATCTTGTCTTGAAAGATTATTTTGGCACTGCTTGCATTTTACGTCTTGCGTTGAAAACATGCTTCACTTTCCTTTGAATAACCCCCTCAAAGAGAATGCAGATGTAGCTGCGCGGCTCCGCGTGTGCTTGTGTTCCATCCATTATGAGTTCTTGATTACATTTGAACCGCGTTGTGAATTGTTTCAACCCTCAGACATCTTTCTACACTGGAAAATGATAATTTTCTATTGTAAATGTCTGCCCCCCCACCCGTTGTTGATATTTAGTAAGCTGCTGTGTTCTTGGTTCACTTACAACAGTATGTTTTTTAATGAAAATAACGACTTTGTTGGTGAGCAATATGAATTGATTAAAAATGTTCATTAATCATTTCCTTGTGTTCCAGCTCTGTGTGTATGAAGCAATTTCTTATTGAGTGTACGCTCCCTGGCCACAGTGATTTAATAACACTCCTCCGTGTCTCCACTGATGCCTATTGAAATGCTTCCTATTTCCCCGCATAGATCGCCGGTGACAAGGCGGTCACATCAAACATTAGCTCATTAATTAGAGAGCAGAACATTGATCTCTGTTCGACCGTTCTGCTCAGTGACGCTCACTGCGGGCCCTCACCAGCCCTCTAATTACGCCTCTTGTGCTATGTGTTTATATCTCAAGAGGGGGGCCGCTCGTGTGAATTGCTCCATGTCAAGCTGTCAGCTCGGAGGTCCAGATGGCCAATCTGCCCGGCCCTCCCTCTGGTGTTTCTCATCCTCCTCTCTACCTATCTCCCCGTTCCTACTCTCCCTCCTCGCTCGTCTTGTGTTCAGGGTGCCCCAAAATTCGCCCAGCTTTTGGTTTATTGTCAGTTTCAATGTATTCCTTTTTCAAACTATCAGTTTACCCAAATTAAAGAAATGTATCCTCTTAACTCCGGGGGGTAGAGCCTTGCAGATGGTGACTGTTTTTACACTCCTTATTGGAATAATTGCAGGGCTGATATATATGTTTTAGACAAACTAAGCTTGTTTAGGTCCCCCTTAGCATCGCTTTTAATCACCCTCCCTAGCTGATACGGGAGAGTGTTTAAATCCTCCATTACGCTTTCGGTAAACAGGGTGGTCACGCTGAGATATCAAACAAAACTATCTGATTCATATTTTGAGGAAATTGCGGGGGGAATGGTTTCGGCTACTACTTTTATTACCAAAGTTAGTAGCCTATGTTGCTTAACATTGTATCCATATCAGCTAGTGCTCCAACACATTGTACGTGAAAGGCTAAGGGGCCAGATTTATCTAAGCGGTTTTTACCAATCAGAGTAGACTGGGCTCTGGTTTCAACCTTTTACTTCATTATTGACGGAAAGGAAGCATTAAGAGTTAGGAAAGCCACATGCATCAAAGTGTATTTGCCATTATTTTAACAAACGATTATGCTAACTAATAGTTTAGAAAATTATTATCCTAATTTCCAGTCCAAGGTGACACTTTTAAGACTTTGTTTTTGACTGACAAACAGACCGAATCCCAAGTCATTAACCTGTACGTCTTTGTCTTTTTGGGCTGTTTAACGTGGGGAAAAGTAATTTATTGTAGACACCACCTAGGCTCGGCTCTGTGTAATTGTCCCATTTTCTGAAAACAAATCAGTAGTTGCAGTGGTTCGTGACATTTTAATTTGAGTCAACTGACCCTTCAAAGTATCTTGTCGTTTTATTTCACTGTCAAGAGCATTGCACATCTCTTTGCTCTGTTTCTCTGTTCCCCCTCTCTCCTCACTGTGTCTGTGTCTTCTCTGCCGATGTTCACTATGATCTCCGTAACTCAGTCTCCAGCACAGACAGGGCTGTATGCCTGTGAGCAGACACCATGCATTATTCATGTCGCATGGGCTCCCTCCTGACCCGACTCCCTAACAGTTGGCAGTCTGTAATACTTCCGCAGAAGGCTTCCACAGGCCCATGGAAAGAACAACCATAATCAAAATATACTAATGTAAGACACTGCTTTGTCTCTATACACCATATCAGATGAGATTGTACTCTGTGAAGCAAAGAAAGCCAGGCAAGACAATGGGTTACAATTTTAAGACCTTAAGAAAGTTCAACATATGATAAGAAAGAGCATCTAATTTTATTCTGATGATTTCATGGGGGAAAACTATGGTGGCTGACAGGGGCAAAAGCGCTGCAACGGCCATTTCAGAAACTATGCTAATTTAAAAACCGCTGCCTAAACAAAACGCTACAAGAAGCTCAAAACACAACGGAAACTGGGACGCTAAAAGTGATTCACACAGCTGCGACCAGAGCGCTTGTTGACGTTTGGGGATAATAAAATTGGCCAACTGTCACTGGAAACTTAACATTTAAGTTTTATCTTAATTTAACAAATGATCAAATAATTCCTTCCGATATAATTGCAGATCTGCTGTAAACTACTGTAGCTAGCTAAAATAGCTATAGTCATTTCAAATACACTGACTAAACACTTATAATATGAAACTGACTAAGTCTCCGACAGTGGCACTTGGCCAACTTTATAATCCCCGAATGTTAACAAGCACTCCGGTCCCGGCTGTGTGTGTCACTTTCTGTATCGTATTTTCCCCTGTCGGCCTCTGTAGGTAACAATAAAGCAAAGGACACCTAATACGAAAGGGCCAGCTTCAAGAAGATCAAAAAGCTAGCAAGCAATTTCAGCACAGAGACCCTTTTGAACCATAAGTTATTTGATTGGCAAAAAATGTGAAAGGAAGCAGAAAAACAACGCCCTTTGATTCCTGCGTTCCTCTTCCTTCTGGTGTTCTTGGCTTCAAACAAATGTTCCACTAATAACTGTTGACCGACTGACTCAAAGATGAATAATGTTTTTTCATGTTGGGCATGTTCATTTGATTTGACACTTCAATGCACGGATTTCTTCAGGTGCGTTTCTATTTAGCAGCAAAATGTCAGACTGAAGGAATCATTCGCTATCACTTGTAACCTTATGAAATCTCTAACTTGACGCAAAGTTCAATGGGTGGTGTTCAGTTTAATTATGACTTGTCTGGGCAATTAGTCAATGACGCATCAACTAAAATGCCATACTTCATCGGACTGAATGTCAACCCTTCATGTAAGCTCCATCTTTTTCCAAACGCAGTCACTGCCTTTGCAACCCACCCCAGGAGGGCCGTTGGACAGATCATGTGCTCCAGCCATCTGCTCCTGAGTGGGGGGGACCACAGGGTTCTCATGGAGATCATCTCTGCTGCCATCATCGGCCAACTGCTAGTCTGGTGCTTCCTCCTGTTTCCGCCGCCTTCCTTAACCTTGAATCATGGTGAGCAAACAGTGCCATGGAAACTAAGGATGGCTTTGCTCTTAACCCGTGTGCCATTAATTCCTAGTGTGCACTCTCTAAAGTTACAACTGTGAGTGAACCTCCAATGCTTTAAAAGCTGATTTAAAAATACCAGGTATCTTGGGGGACATTTTAGAAAGTCAGTCAAACATAGCTTTATTTACCAGTGCCAAATAAGGGCCATTATACATACATATAAAAAATACAGACCAAGGGAAGGGGTCAATTCATCCGAGAAAAAAATGGATTTCATAAAACAAATGGGAGAGTTATGGACACGTTGGGCAAAATACAGCCAAAGATCATATTTGAGTCTTTTTCTATACATTTTAGTCTCTTAAATCTATGACGTGGACTTGAATATCTCCCTCCACGGCCCCATATGTATTTATTTTGTATTGTTCTACATACAATGGCCCTGATACATCTTCATAGTATTTCAATTAGATAACTTATAACAACTGGATTTATTGGCTAAAGTGTGCAGATATGATATCTTTGATCATGTCACGCCCCACAAGAACACTCAGTGCAGCAGTGTGACAGTAAACTTAATTCCTAAAACTGCATATGATACAGTTATATAAAGCTACTGTATGGTATGATATCATTACCATCTGCTGGAGAGAGTAGCCACAGGAAAGCATCTCCAGCCACTGCAGGAAAATATACACTACCCTGAAGTGAAATGGTTCAATTTATTTGGAATAATCTACCTGATGTCGGCAGCAGATGATGATCAATGTACGGATATTAGAATCAGAAATTCATTCCGTGGGGCAGACTATAAGAAAGGCATGTAGTGTTGACAGATGCGATGTACTATGAGTATAAACATAACATGAACTATGGATGAGGCTGAGTGGAGCGGCAAAGTAAACCATCAATAGGAAATGGCTTTCTAATGTTGACTGAATATAAAGTGTGCGGAAAGGACTTGAATACTTCTCCTATATGAGGCATTGATTTTCCCTCTGAGCCATTTGTGGGGAATAATTACATGAATGGGCTGTGAGCAGAACAGAAGACATATGTATGCTCTGAAAGCCAACATACATTATTGTGTACCAGCACTTTTCCAAAAACAACCAGCCCATAACAATCAAACACAAGTACACAAATAAAACTCACAAATGTGGCATACAATCATCACAATGCTCCTGACGAACAATAACCTAAAAAAGAAACATGAGCTCTATCACACCAAGGGATTAACTCAAAATCTGAATGTGTAACTATCGCACAGAAGACAAGCATAGGCAGTTAACACACACTGATTGTAAGGGAAACTTCTGTGTAGCAATGCAGTGGGAGTCACCGACTCAGGAAGGAGACACGGTAGGAGCAGTAGCTTTGATGTCAAACACTGATGGTTTATTTGGAGTTACGGCCGGAGAATTCACATCACAAGTCCAAGAGCCAGAGGTTCTGACTTCACGGTAGAGTTGCCACGTTAATTCTAAAGCACTCTACCTCAGACCCATGTATTTAACTAGTCCTGAGAGTATCATCAAACTGCTGCATAACAAGATAAAATCATAACACCTCTATCAGCTGACGCCAACAGGTAGGAACATAGAATCATAACACCTCTATCAGCTGACGTCAACAGGCAGGAACATAGAATCATAACACCTCTATCAGCTGACACCAACAGGTAGGAACATAGAATCATAACACCTCTATCAGCTGACGTCAACAGGCAGGAACATAGAATCATAACACCTCTATCAGCTGACGCCAACAGGCAGGAACAGGGAGACAGAACACTGAGAGCACAGCAGCCAAGGTTACGAGGTGCGTGTGCTCAGTCAGGACAGTTTGAACTGATAAACTGGGTCAAAGTTATGGGCCTTGGAAAATATTCCACAACACTGATTAAACACAGCCCAGGCAAAGGATACACATGTTAGCAGAAGCACCACTTACTCTTTTCAAGTGAAACAGTGAGTGACCCCTGGCCTAGCTGATGATAACCCCCACTCTGGGAAATTCTAGGTGCTGACAGCAGGGCTCGAAAAAGACTTGGCTTTTGGGTTGAA